TAATAAAAATATAGTTAAAATAATAACTATAAAATATACCTGTATTGAGCACTAACCCAAAACAGTGCTACTTTCAGTATTTTATTTAATACTAAAACAACACTATGAAAGAGACATTATTGTTATCCACATTCTACAAGTAAGGAGAATAATCCTTAGAATAGATTAATAATGTGATTGGATTCTTGGTGCCAGAGATGGTGGTAAAGTCAATTTGATTGTTCCACAAACCTGCTATTTCTTTCAGTGAAATAGATTGAAATGGGCTAGAGTAGAACAGAAAACTATTAAATTGCATTGCTTGTTGTAAAGTTTGATTGATGAAACTTTTCTTAGAGTTTTTAGGATGTAGAAAACAAAGAGGTAGGTAGGGGAATGTGAGATGTGTTGTAGTTGTTAAATGGATTTCTTACAACAAACAGAACACAAAATTTTGCTTCAGAAATTTTGGAGCAACAGTACTAGTGGAGATTGTAGCCCACACTGTCCCAATATCGTTATTATATTATCGTTATTATATAATCTAAACAGAATGAATATAAATTCTTATTTTGTGTCTTCTTGATTGACTGAGAATATTTAAAGACCAGAAAGAATGATCACCATCTTTATCACCATCTCAGCCAGTTCCCTTGAGCTATATAACAAGAACAGAGGTCTGAATGGACTAGTATTCTAATCCAAGGTGGCACAATTAATGAGTGGTATATTGTGAAGTCCTGATTAAGTAGTCTACTACCATTAGGTGCTTTCTTTTCTTTTTTTTTCTTTCCTTTTCTTTTTTCCTAGAAGTTGAAGATCATATTAATAAAGCATCAGAAATAACTAGTTGCAGGTTGTCAAACACTACTCCTTGACTATTACATCTATACCATGTGGGCCTCTCATCACAGTCAAATTACAAAAGTGACGATTTACTAAGTGCTTCTTTGGCAAAACACTGTTGTTTAGGTTTAAGCCAAGCTTCTTACTGTTTTGGCCTTCTATTACAGATAAAATGAAAGATACTTATCCCTAGGTAATATATTCCTAAAAAAAAAATAGGCTAAAAGTCTAAAAGAGTTTTCAACTAAAATGGACAGTTATATTGATTAGAGAAAGTAAAGGTAACTTTGATTTAGAGGAGAATTAAGTAAAGGAATTGTGGAAGAAATGAATTTTAGTACACTTAAGTGATCTCAATATATGGAAAAGATATATTTAACATTTGGTGAATTTCAGCCTTCATTCTAGATGAATGGATGAGAAAAATCAAGATTGTCACAAGATCATAAGCAAAGAGGTTGAAGAATGAAATATTTAAGTGGGAATGACTCTTTAGGAACCCACTGATAGTATAATGCAATTTTGTTTTAGTTGTTTAGAAGCTTCTAAGTAATTTATACAGTTATTCCAATGAGCATATGTTAAGAAATCCAGGTACATTGGCATATGCCACTATCTCTCATATATGCCAAAAATTAATACTTTGAGGTTGAATTGTATCTCTTCCTTTAAAACTATTCAAATACTTGCTGTCAGCCCATAAAGCTCTCTCTTTTTAAGAATTTCTAACATTCACCTTGCTGCACTGTATTTAGCACTTAAATATTGTCCTGACTTTTTAAAACAAATTTCTGTTTCTGCATCTATGCTCCATAAACAGATTGTAAATTTCTAGCTGCTATTGACTTTTTCTGATAACATTCCCCATTCTTTATCCTTGCTACATGATGATTACAGATTTGGTAATCAGTTCATAGATACAAGTTTCTCATGTATAACTAGAAAATAATTAAATTAACTCATCAAATTTTCTTCCTTTCCTAGGTATTAACTACAGTATGTTCAATTACTACAGCTATCTATGTCTTTGGTCCACTTTCTACTAGTTTTTAAAGTGTCTGTGGCAGATAGCAACTCTTACGTCCACTTCCACAAGTCAGAACACTGTACCAAAAACACTGTCTGTGCTTAGTTAAATGGAAATTGCGTGAATTAAAAAATAAAGTAAGAAAAACATTGCTAAAATTGAAAAATATCTGTATAGTTCCTAGTGCAAAATTTTCTCTTTTTCATATCAATTGGAACACAAACTATTTTAAAAGTCTAATTTGCTCTCATTATATGACCATACAATACGAAGCAATGGACGAGGGATCCTGTTATTCTAGAATCCACATTCACATAAATTGACATTGATTTTTATGGTAATATTGGAGATAGCCTTAATTAATTATAAAGACACATAACAGTGCCTTTATTGCAAAAAGAAAGAAATATATGTTTATTTGTCATGCATACCACAAGAAGTTTCAAAGGATAAAATGTTTTAAAAATTGGTTAAAAAATTTTATTTTTGTCCCTTTTATCCTTCTCTGTTCTTTTTTTACTTAAAAGAGGAGGAGGATGGAAACATTTTATTAATTGCTTCTTTAATGAAGGTTTGGGTGTTTTGGACTTGTTCCTTCTCCCTAATTTAGATTGGCAAGTATGAAAGCAAAATTTTGCTACCTTGATTATTTCATTGGAATGTAAAAAGGACAATTGCTGGGTGTTTACCAGACTTTAAAATCAAAGGTACTGGGCCTGAGACATTTATCTGTGGTTAGCGTTAATCACAATAATATTAATAGCACATAATAGTGTCACTGGTCAGGAGTTTCTTGAGAAGTGGGAACTCCATTCAGGACCAGTGGGTTCCATAGCTTATGTATAAGGCATTCCAGCATTTGCCAGTCAGAGGTATAGACAGAGGTTTATTTAGGGAAGTAGGTAAACATTCAAGGGAAAATGCACACAATCAATATTTATTGGGGTGGAGAGTTAATTAAAAATGCACAGGTAGATTTGTAGTTTTTCCAGGAATTAGGGAGTGACAGGTCTGGAAAAGTCAGTCAAACTTCTGAATGCCAATCTTATTTCCTTGTCCTTCCATGTCTCCTTTCTACTTATTTCTTCTATTGTACCTCAATAATAGTAACAATAGTAATTATTAAGAGCACTAGTTAATTTTATTTGTTGCTTTCTGGTGTCTCATACTGGGCTTAGTTCATTAAATATGGTTTAATTTATTTCTCATGCTTTCCCTGTGTGACAGTTTCTATTACTACAGGGAAGGAAGATGGACACTTTTCTTAAGGTTAATAATAATGAATATGTTATGAATGAGGATTCTGTGAACTTATAGTTTAATAAGAATGAAAATGAAAGGAAGGGGGTGAGGTTGTGGCTCAGTGGTAGAGCAATCACCTAGCACATGTGAAGCACTGGGTTCTGTCCTCTTTACCACATAAAAATAAATAACTAAAATAAAGGCATCTTGTCCATCTACAACTAAGAAAGTTTTTTAATGAAAGTCACACTTTCAATCCCCCCTTTCTGATTTAGTCAATTTGTGCCACTATACTCTTAATGTTCATAATATTCTTTTGATTACAGAATTTCCATGTTGAGCTTTTCCACTATCTTCATCCACTGCTAATATCAATAATATTAGTAACTTCCCTGAAACAGGCTTCAGCAGAGGTCTATTACTGAAGATCTTTGGCAGCAAGCTACAGCCCTTCAGGAAGGGGGTATCTGCTATAGATGGAAGTTGAACCAAATTGTTTCCCTGTACTATCCATAAACAGTTTTAGTTAATATAAACAGTTAACATTTGTTATCAATGTTTTTCAAGAAGTTGATCCATCTCTGAATTGACTCTTTGGTTCCATTCCATTTCCATGTCTCTTTTTTGCGGGGGAGGGGGAGGTTTAACATTGCAATGTTTCTATAAGGTTAAAATTGTGTAATAATGTAAAGTGTTTGGGAAAATGTCCAGTACATAATAAGCTGGCTAATTAGTAGATGACAATAATCATGATACTAATAACATAATTGTTCTTTACGGGATGATTGCATTTTTTTCTAGAATTCTTAATTTGCTGGTTGACCTAATTTTGCATAAAATTATTAAGGTGTAGACACTAGCTTTCTTTAAATGCCGGTGCTAATAAGACACAGTACTTCAGGTTCATTTGTGTATATATCACAAAAATGAGTTCAATCAATTAACCTTTGGTTTAATGATTGGCTTAATTAGTAGGGACATTGGTGGTATCCACTTTTGCATACATAATATCTGAGTTGTACTTTGTTGAGTTGTTGTATTTGCATCTCCTTTTAAAAAGGCTGCACCATTGCCTGACTGCATGATTTCTCAATAGAAAAAATAGTAATAATGAAAAGAAGAAAAGGGAAAGATGGAACTCATTTGAAAAAAAAAATAGAAGCCTTTTCAAAGATACTACTCTATATAAAAATGAGGCATGAAAGATAAGTAAATGTAGTTAAAGCATAACCAATGATCATGACAGAGCCCGCAAAGACTGAATTTATCATTTTTATTATGCATACCAATTCTTTGTTTATTAACATAATGATATTGTAATAAAATAAGAAAAAGGTTTCACAAAAGACCAGACAATGCCAGACAACTGATAAAAAGATGCTAAAATGTGCAGCTCCATGGAGCCTAGAGTTCCTTTTAAAGTTGATTTTGAATGACTTGGCAGGCAGGGAGTCTTCTAGGAGGAAATGCATCTTTGTCTGGGGTTAGGCTAGGGTTGGACTCCCAGGGCTCCAGTGAACTTTGGGGAGAAATTCCTGAGGCAGGACTCTGACAGACAGAGAGAGTCACTAGCTACTGGGAAGGGGGAGGAGAAGATTTACCATCACTCTCAGCAGATCTTCAGTTGCAGCTCTTCTCAGGCAGAGTATGCCAACAGACAGTCTCTCCTGGTTTTGTTTGTCTGTGGTGGGTAGCAGCAACCCCTGTGCTTCTGCAGTATTGAGATTATACCATCAACAAGCTCTGGGACATCAGTGATGCCAAGTGTCACTTAAGGACCTTTTCATCTTGTATATTGCTTTTGGAGCAGGGATATTCTAGCATGTGGTTTCTAGTCTTGCAGAATAGTAGCATTTTCGGGCTCCATGGACCTTATGTCATGCAGTCAAATCACCTCATTTTGCAGATCTAGAAACTGAGGCTGAAAGAGAAAGGATTTGCTCAAAGTTACTCATCTTGTCAGTAACAGACAACAGTGGAACTTCTGGTAAGTTGTATAGGCTCTCTGGGCCTTTCTTTACAAATCTATAGAATGGAATTGGAATAGGTCTAAATGATCTAAGATCTAAGATTCCTTCTTGTTTTAGTATTCTGCTTCTCTGACTTTTAAATTTCAGATGCAGTGATCAAGAGGCTTTTTTTTCTTTTTTTCTTTTTTTTTTTTTTTTTTGCCTCACTGGCTTTGATAAAGCATTTTGTTAAAGGCTAACATTCTGGTTAGTATTCTACATTGTGTATAAATATTTGTTTTAATTTGACCTAGATTAGGATTAAAAATTCTGAGAATGCACCCTGATTTTGAACGTGTTTGACTGTTTACCGTATTGCAGCCTAATATGATATTTTCTAATGACACTGTAATACAGGTTTCATATTATTGCCTCCATTACTTTATTTATTGTTTATTCATTGTTGAAAAGTTCAAGTCACTTGAATGGGTACGGCTCCTAAAAAAGTCATACTAACTTCTTGAGGCCCTAAGCAACTTAGTGAGATCCTGTCTCTAAATAAAATATATAAGGACTGGGGATGTGGCTCAGGGCTTAAGTGATCCTGGGTTCAGTCCTCAGGAACAACAACAATAAAAAAAAAAAAGACATGTTTTGAAGGATTAAAATGCCCTAATTGAGAACTTTGTTACCTGCAAGCATGAATTATATTTTCTTTTTTATATTGGCAGCACAAATACTTTAGACAGACTGACAGCAATGCCATCATGTAATGGCACTTATAAAAGCTTCCATCAACAGTGTGTGTGTTTAGTGTCTCCACATGGAACAAACTGGGTTATGGTAGTCAAAAGAGCCAAAGATTCAAAAATAAGATAGACTTGGGTTTTTAAGTTTTTGGCTCCATGTATAATTCAATAGAGTCCTGGGGATGGAGAGTTGGATAGTAATGGGGGAAGCTTTCTGCATATTCAAAGATTGAATATGTAGGTGTTAGACATCTGTTACATAAATGACATGTGATAGTTACACGTTGTGATACTCACAGGGGCATCAGAAGAATCAAATGATATATGAAGCATGTGAATGAAATGTTTCATCTTTTTGTATTTCATATTAAAACAAGTAGATGGCTGCATTAAAAAAATTCAGGAATCAAGAAAGAAATGGTATGGGAAGCAAATACTTTCTTTTCCCAAGGTGGGGGGAAGGGGTAAATACAATATTGCTGCCAGAATATCCAATGTTCATATACTTCTTAAAATATTACCTCTATATGAATTACTTGGGGATATTATTAAAATGTGAACTCAGATTCAAGAAGTCTGAGATAAATTCTCAGATTCTGCACGTTTTAGAAACTCACAGGTGATGCTGATGCTGCTGGTCACCAGCCTTGAGTAGCACAATATTATCCCTGCAGGTTAATAAGTAGAATCAAAGGTCAACTAAGTATCTTACCATAAAAGATACACACATTTGGGGGGCTTTGTTTATCAACAAAGTGTCATCAAGGCTGGCCAAGCCCCATCTTGCTACACCATAAAGGAGCTTTCTGTATTTGCAGAATTTATTATGTGTTGAGAAAGCACTGGACTTCTGCTTGTCTGGGCTTTCTGGCTAATGGAAGCAAGGTGTGAGTTTGTATGCAATAGAATTAGGAATAATCAGGATCCAAAGAGCTTATGTATTGCCAAGGCAGTAGAGCTGCTTCTTGTTTCTTCACAAGGTCTTATCTAATAGAGAAACTATTAGAGAAGGCAATGGATTGAATACTGAATGCCAACCCAAGCATTCTGAGTATGCGATTGCTTGTTGTAACTCCTCTTTTTCCCTGTATTTATTATATTGGGTTAGATACCTCAATTTTCTAAAATAAATATGAACAGAAGGAAATGATGTGAGACTTTCCGTCTTCTTTTCTCTTTGAAATTAGATTCCTCAAGCAGGTACTGATTACTTATTTTACCACATAGTTGACAAGATACTTTGAGGCTAATAATGACCAAGAAGTTAATTTCTAAGTATTCTCAGTTTATGTACAGAGGATAAAGACAAGGGAGGGAGGGAAGAAAAGGAAAAGAAAACAAGCACAAGGCACTTGAAGTTTAGATAATACTAGATTTGGAAACAACATACTTAGAGATCTGAAAATCTGAAGCAAATTGAAATCAGGTCCACCAAGGAGTTAGCTTTGTGATGGAGAAAGAATTCGAGTGGGGATTTTGATCCTGGTCATTTGTACCTGCGCACAGAAAATAGCTTTACACAAAGTCTTTGTCATATTGGAGGTATATAAATGGAGAATAGAAGTCAAGATATGCAGGTTAGTTAGTTCACCTAGCTCCATGCTGAGATTGAAATGTCTTGGGAATCAGCATAAGATAAGGTTTTGTGAAGGACAGAGGAAATCCGTGTATAACAGATCCAGTCCTTAACTGTGGCTTCACTAAAACTTTGATTGTTCATGTGCCTTGGACCCTGAAAGGAAAAGATCACTTTTATGTAAACATTTCCCTTTAGCATATGGAACACAGTGCTTCAGTAGGCACGTGAGTCAGTGGAGGGGAGAAGAAACACATCTCCATATTGCCATATTTACTCAATAGGTCATCATTCCTTCTTTTCAACTCTGCCACTCAGATCTGATAAGGATTTTCATTTCTCTAACTTAGGGGAATTTGAATTTTCTCAAATAAATTTTTGCCATGACAGTTTCTTTGAAGTATTGGTTGGTGGTAAAGGAAAAGCCTTTTGTATCTCCCCTTCTTTGATGTGCTTTTCTGATTCTGCATTTTCCTGGCTGCTGCTGTTGCCTAGATAGGATGGGTCTGGGGTATTTATTATGTACTATCTCCAGAGCCAGTGCAGTCTCAGGATCAGGTGTAGGAACAACTGAGATAACTGAAGATCATTAACCATTATCAAACCCAAGGGCAAATTTGGAGTCATATTCATGAGTTGAAAAAAATTCAGAATTCAGAAGTGTTCAGGAATAAAGAGTGACTAGAACAAGACCTGGCCAGGGATTCACAGTGTGAAGTGTTTGTTCTCACTGGATATTGACTGTGTTGACTGATACTACTTTAAAGACTTCGGGGGTGGCCACTGTATCTCCTTATTGTCCACCCTTGAAAAATACACTCTTAAGAGCACAGATGTACAGTATGAACTTGTGCTACATAGAAACTTTGGATTCTTTTGAGTTTCGCTAGCAAAATAATATACCACTCCTACTAAGTTTTTTTTAAAATTTATCCAATTAAAAATTAGAGTCTCATGGACACAGACAATTATGAGTGTATGAGAATCTAAGTTTTTGTAAACTACATTCAGCTACAACACTTCCCAGCTTTATTTGCATTCTTTTAAGTTTGTTCTATCATTTCTACTGTCTTTAACTCATCTCCTCCCCGCACACCAAGTTTGGCAGTATGGGAATTGGGATACTTTGATTTTTTTTTTTTTTTGTCAACTTGTGATGTCAGTTCCAAATTATATAATAACCAAAATTTGAAGGCACAGATATTTCATACTGACAGGAGTTTTGCTGGCCATCTAGCATTCATTTTCTTTGTTTTTCAGTAAAAAGCAAAGAATAAAATAAGACATTGGAAAGAAATATGGGGAGTATAGAAAAAGAAATGGAATTAGGAAATAAAACGAATATTTATTGTGTGCTAACACTTCTGAATGCTTTTCTAGTTTCTACATGTGCATAGTTGTACTTAACCCTTGCTATGACTTTCTGTTAGTTAGAGTCTGTCATTGGATGCACATCATCTGTGGGTGAAACAAAGAGAGATTCCAATCCAAAATCAAAGTCCTGCAGCCATGCCCAGCAGAGCTGAGCTAAAGGTCTGAATCTCCCACTGCTCTACCACCTGGCCCAGAAGTGAGATGGTGGTAGTTGCTGTAATGTACCATTCTGTACCGTTTTCACAAGGTATCTTGAACTATGCCAAGATAAGCAATTCAGATAAAGGACAGAGGGTAAAAACTGAGTAAAAGTTACAGATCAACTCCCTTCCAAACAGATTATTCTCTTCATTCACTTTGAACTTAACATATGTAAGGTGTTTTATAATAGTAATAATCTTTTTACATGAATATGACTTGTCTGTACCCTAGTCAGTGACATGGAATCATACTGGGTACTATCTAGCTCTTTAGAATGCTGATATATAGTCTGTACATGCTTAATATGCACACATTGCTTTATAAAATAAATCAAGATCACTTTTTTTTTTTTTTATTTGTACCTGCGCACAGAAAATAGCTTTAGACAAAGTCTTTGTCATATTGGAGGTATGTAATGCATATATAGACTTTGGTGTTACTAGTAAATGTGTTCTCAGCTCTGCACATTTGTTCTTTAAAGAGCTCTCTATATTAAGCACTTACTATGTGAGGAGTAGAATCAGTCAGAACTATCTGAGTTCTGCTGTTATAACAAATCATCCCTGAATAACATAATAGAAGTTTAATTTCTGTGAATGCGAAGTAGAATGTGGGCTTTGCTATTCTCCAAGGCATCTCCCTTTCGAGGGACGTGTCAGGGGGGCAGTCTGTTTCTATTTGTGGGCTTTATGTTTTCTATATGTGGTTTCTAAATCAATGTCTATTCCATGGGGAAAGAGCTCCGTATGCTTCAGGGACTTTTCTTTGCCGTACTCTGCAATTGACACACTACATTCTGTTCACTGTTACAGAAGAAACCTGCCTACAAAGCCAAAGCAACAGCAGGGGTACACAATAACCCATTCTGGCAATCCCTCAGGAAGGATTTCAAATGAGTTACCCAGACCACAGACAGAAGTTTATTAGAAAAAGTGAGAGTATAGATGTCCACTACAGGCACCAAACAGACTGCCTCTGGAGAGAATGTGTAGCTTTTACAGAGTCTGGATTTTTTAAGGGTTTGGATTCCTTTGTTCTCGCCTTAGTTTCCTCATTTCTGATTTATCAGCTTATTACATTTTGTATAGCCCTTGGTACTTTTTCTGTGTGAGAGTGGTAATGGCCTGGTCACAAGGAG